TCTTTCTAATATTTACAATATGGAATATTTTGCTTTTGTAACAAGTAAAGAATCAGAATGAGTTAATGATAACACTGCTCGTTCCACGTATTTTTTTTTCCATGCAATTTAAGCACCAAACATAGGAGAAAGAGACACACCAGAAGGAAGCCAGAATTTAAATTTATTTATAGAAGTGTTAGTTTAATAAAAAAAAAAAATCCTTATCTTACCTCACAGAGTTGTCTCAAAACCCTCCTGACTGAAAGAGAAAAAAAAAAGAGAAAGAAAGAACTGAGAGGTTTACTTATAAATATAGGAAATACGTACTATTTGAAAAAAATTTGTGACTGTTACTCCATTTCAGTGTCCAACAAGCTCAATGGGGACTTAAATGCAGGTCAAGGGGAATAAATTAGAACAACAATGCACCAATGAGAAATGAGAGAGCTTCTCACTGCACAGGGACCTGAGAGGTGCAGAAAATATGACGGCGATTGTTGTGCTAATGCTTGCCTGAGGTACCCTACAAGCCGGAGCAAAGTGAATTCCATCTCTTGAAGTCTATTCTTTAATTGACACAAAATGCAACTTCCCGAAATGAGATTTGGCTGCTACCTTTAGGGCCGTGGGTGCTTCATCTTCATGTTTTATTGATGGGATTCTGCGGGGCCCATCGCCGGGACAGCATCAGGAGACTCATTAGTGCAGCTTGCTCTCGGTTCCAAAGATCTCTTACCGATCTTTTCTGTGGTTTAAAACACAAGAAAGAGCAAGAAGACGATTTGCACAGTGGCTGAAGGGTTGTTTACTTCAGGAATTCAGGAGCTACTTTTGGCTCTCCCGTTTAGAAGCTCTTATTCTACTTTATTTCTCACCTTCACCTGTGGTCCCTCAAGAAGAAATTCTACAAATTGAAAATCCCTGTCTTGATACAATTTTTTCTCTTAAACTGTGGCCAGTGTACACCCTGAGTCAAATGAGCTGAATACTTGCAGTGTTTTTGAGGAATCTGCTTTGTCCTGTGAGGATAGTATTCAAGAAGGCAGGTATTAGAATATTACTAACATCATCAACTTATATATCTTATTTATTCTGTATGTTTATGTACTTAATTTTCGTGGAAAATTTTTATGTTATAAACAGATAATTTTTGAGAATGATAGTTCATTGTTTAATTAAGTGCTTTTTGACTCCTCTAATTTTAAAAGATTTTTCTAGTGCCTGGTATTGTGGCACCATGCCCACAATACTAGCACTTGGGAGGCTGAGGCAGGGGGATCACAAATTTAAGTCCAGCTTGGCATATACAGTCAGTTCCAGTACAGCCTGGACTATATAATGAGACCCTGTTTCAAAAAACTAAAATGAAAGCAAAACATTAAAATATTCTTCTGTCAGTTCAGTCCAAAACTGGGACATAAACTCCTTTCATCAGTCACTTTCAGAATGTTATCGCTAAAAAGGTTGTCATGATAATATTGTACATAAAAACCAACATATTTTAAGGAGGCACACAGAAATCAGGTATACATTACAAATACTCACTAAAGATGTATTCTTTTTATTTTTATATACCATAAGAATTAAGAGTGATAATGTTCATGAGTTCTGATTCCTTGTATTTAAAACTAGTCAGAACTTCAGGTAATGAATTTACCATCTTTCACCTACTAGATGTGTATCTGTGTAATGGAAAAAAATATGCTCCATTTTACACTATTCTGACAAGAAATGATAAAATAATCATAATTTAGCCATGTGATTGACAAATAGGAAGAAATGGGCGTATTACTGATTATTGTTACTGTCAATGCTACTTATTATAATTACTCATACATCTTTTCTTTAGACACTGATTACAATTAATCTTCAGGATTTGCCAAAACTGTTAGACATTTCTGTTCTCATTTATCTGTTTTAATCTGGAATGTATTATTTCAGTGACAGTACATAATTCAAATATTTACTAATATCATTTTCTCATGAGCCCTGCTTTTAAATTATTTTAATGGTTTTTCCTAAGACTAAGGGATCCATAGAAGGTCTTACCTGCTAATAAAAGATCAAATTTCATATGTTTTATCTGACTTTAAAAAAAATTATTTCTAACACAATATATGTTACAATATTCTGTGTTCAGTAAAGCCATGAATTTCTGTTTTTATATTGAAAATAGCATGAAAAATTTTAAAAAGTGACTGTTAACAAAATTACTTTAATATGTTCCATTTAATATTTGAAGGTCTACCTGCCACAGGATTGAATTTCTGTGATTTAGTAAATTCACGTATATAAATTTATACACATATGTATGTATTTGAGCACATAAACTGTATGTAGTATGTCACACTATTGTCAAATACAAATATTTTCAGGTATTATTTTTTATTAAAGCTTTAAAATTAAAAAAGGAGCATGTGCAAAACAGAACTTAATGATTTAAATTGAAGTTTAGCCTTTGCATTTTCTGCAAGTAGAGTTTCTTTCCTAAAAATGTTATTTCATCTCATTGTATCTAAGCTTCTCAGTCTGTGAATTCTACAGCATGCAATTCTAATACATCTCTAGCATAGTTCTAAGAAGATTGTAAACAAAATTTAGAAATAAATAAGATCGAGATCCTGCTCTGAAGAAGTGTGATCCAAGTGAAATGATATTAAAGCAAGGACAAACCATTAAGAGTTTGCAAACATGTCATCCAAGTAAATTGTAACAGAACCAAGAGGCATAAATCATGGACTATGATCTTTCAGTGTTTAAAACAATGTATAAGGTCTAAGTTACCACTGACTTCTGCTTCACGATATATATTTGTTGTCAAATATATTCCATAATTTTGTACTTTCCCACATTTAGAGATGATAATATTGACTCAGACAGATTAAGCGAATTTAGCCACTAATTGTAAGTGCTAAGTTTTAAGTACTAATGTTTCTCACTTCGAAAATTCACCTTTCATTCACTTATTTCTATGGTCTTATAAGTCAATGAGTTAGTACCAAGAAAGAATGTGAACCTCCCAATTCCACCCAAAGTAATGAAGAAAAAGAGAAAAAAATAGAAATTGAAGATCAATATTTCCAACTAAATTATATCTGAAATAAATATGCTGGTAAATCCATAATTCAGTAATCACAGAAAAAATAATCTTACCACTTTTAATGTATCTTCCTTTTATCTACCTACGATAAGACATAATTCTCACCTGAGGAAAAAAAATTATAAAATTCATTCTGAGAAGCTCTACCTAATGAAGCAAGTATTCTTCATCCTGAGATGTTTGGAAAAGTTCAAGAAATTTACATTACAGTATTGTAAACACTCCACTTAAAAATTCAATGGAGAATATTTAACAAAACATGAAAAGAAAGCTTAGAATGAAAACATAAAAGATTAGCAAAAATTTAAATCCTCCCCCTCAATAATACTGCCCCATCAAAACTGTTTACAATAGCTCTGCATAATTTACCTTCATATATGATAAAATTTATTTAATTTTATTGATTAGAGTATGATTCAGGCACTGCACTCATTATGAAGTTTTAACAAAAATCAAACATAATGGATGTTTCAAGTTATTTTGAAATATTTCTAAACACCTGGGTTAATTGTACACAGGGTAACTTACTCTCAGAAAGCTGTATAATAAGAATAGGTAAAGCGGGGTAAAAAGTTTATTCCTATCAGAGCATATGTTAAACAGAGAATGGTCCTTAGAATATAATTACAGGAACTTATTTCGTATCACACCCTAGTTAGCAACTCGGAGTTTCAGGGTTAATCTAAAACTACAATTTTTGTCCTCAAATCAAAGAACCATAACTGTACCAGCAATTGTCAGGAGACAATAGAGAGTAGTATTCAATATGTCTTTAGGAAAGAAGTCATATGTAATGGCTATAGAGGCATCAGGTTAAGATTAAACCTTTATATCATATTTAGATGAGCTCCTGCTGTTCTAGAAATTAATTTGAATTAATCATGATCTTTCCATCATTTATCACACTCTATTCCATAGCTGAATGAGTCAATAGCACAGCAGCCCTACAAACTCAGAGGCCTGATTTTCAAGTTTGGCCTGGGGATAGGAAGTCAAAAGCTGGCAAAAGACGGATGCTTTGCAGAAGTGACAAATATAGTTTTTTGGAGAAAGTTGCTGACTGCGGTGTTCCAACTGCAGTGGCTTATCTGCTCCTCCAGATGCTGAAATAATGACAGATGCTTAGAGGAGGATTGACAAGAGGAAGAAAAGAACTGGTTAAAGCATCTAACCTGCTTGTATGGAGGAAAATAAAAGTCACACTTATGAGATCCCTCTACCAATGAGGTGTATCTATACATCCCGAGAGGCTACACATAATATATTAATATAACTGTGCAGAACTCTTTGGTGTCAAATTAGAGATTTTTGCTGTTGGAGGTGTGGACAACACTGAACTATAACTCCTGTATTCAGAGATTAACAAATTATTACATCACTTTATTGAATATGAAATGACTTCTGGGTGTCTGAGCTGAATGACAGGAGAGCAGTTAATAATGACATGATATATATGGCTACATTTTCTACAACTGGGGCAGCTGAATGAGTTTCCTACACTTGTTGCTAAATGTGTTGTTTCAAAATCATTATCATATTACTAGATGTGAAAATAAGGACTTAAAATGAATACTTATTTTATTTATTTATTTATTTTTTTTGTGGTACAGGGAATGGAACTCAGGACTTGCACTTGCCATATCCCTGGCCCTGAATACTTATTTTAAAAGTACAAGTAACAAATCTTTGTTAAGCAAGTTGAAATTTTTGGCTTTTGCATAAAAAACTCATAAGATATCAATCTTTGTATTAGATTAAAGAGGGCCTATATGATAAAGAGTCAAAAATGGTGAAGGATGAGGACTAATTTAACTTACTTAAAATGCACTTAAGTATATTGTATTTGAAATACCAATTTAACATACCTGAGAGGTGTGTGCGTGCATGTGGTGTATGTAAGAAAATTAAATTTTGTGGTTTACATGTCAATATCTCTCCATTTGGTTGTTGTTGGCTTTCTTTCCTCTCTGATTTTCTTTAAAAGAGGTCATTCAACTTCCTATGAGAGAAACTTACTCTTACCAGAAGAAAACTACCCAGTTGTAAAACACTGTTTGCAAGAAAAGAGAAACATTTATCCAAACATGGCAATTCCCTATGAGATTTTCTTACATTTTATATGGGCTGCAGAAAGAACACTTTCACAGTATCATTTGCAATAATTTCCCATTCATAACTGGAAAGCTCTTATTATTAAATTATTTCTGCATTCTGCTGAAATTCTTGAGAGTGCATTGGAAATGTACTCCTAAAGTGAACCACTAGGTAACTAAATCTTAAGATATTTGATAGCTAACTGAAAGTGTCTGCTGAAAAGGCAATAGGGAAAACTCAAAGAGAGAGGAAGAAGAGGGTGTACAGGGTTGGAGCTGGATGAGCTAAATTTTCAAACAGAAATTCCTATGTCCACCTGTAAATGTTTTGAAACATGCCTCCTCTATGTTTGATGCCAGTAGAGCTAAACAAATCACAAAGGAGAAAGCATGCTTACAACACATATGTTTACATTTTTTCCAGAATTGTTATGAAGGTTTAGCAAAGCTGTTTCTCAAACAAATAGTTTAGTATTTAGGAAAAATACAGTCAGCTGGACTGTCTGAATATCCCCCAATTACTGAGAAAAAGAGAAAGACAACTCAGGTATT